AACCTATGTAAGCAATAAAAACGCAACATTAATTATGTACTGCATAGTATTAAATAATTCGAAATTAAAATCTCGTATAATCTCAGAGGAAAAACAGTTGCTTTCTGAAAAAGCTAATTAAAGTTTGTGAATGGATTTTCCCCTTAATGTGCCAATGCAAAAGTTTAAAAAAAAATTCGCTGTATCTGTCATTTTTTATAAACCTAAATTTACATTTTTTTGAAATTGTTTCCTTATGTGTTTACTGTTAAATTGAGCAATAATAAAATTTTTTTTGAAAACTTCAGAGGTTGTTTAACAATAAGATTTCACATTCGACATCCCCGTAATAATACCTTGTTTATGATTACGTATTCGATTATTACCCATCGATACATAAGAAAAAAAATATTCTTAAGCAGAATAGAAAGGTAATAAGCAATTTTTATGTCACTGAATACAGATATTTACATATGTGTTAGTTAAAATTCTTAAACTATTCTTTAGCTCTCAATTTTAAGCCAAACTTAAGAAAATTTATTTTTTATATGTTCTATACATTTCTTATACACTAAATGCTTATATCAACAAAAATCATACAAATGAAAATAAATTATCGAAAAACAAATTAATAAAAGGTTCAATCTATAGGGTTCAAATCTAAGATGACCAGTTTATTCGGTGGTTAATCCCATTGTTACCATAATAATCTATGGTAGATTTCGCTTCATGTCAGCTGGCGTTGTCTTTTTGAAAGTAACATGGATCCAACTTGCAAAACTGACATGATGTAGGAAGCACACTATCATCCGAAATCGTATACTAAGTGTCTGCTTTGAGATTACTGTTTATTTGGACGAAAGGTTCAAGTCAAATTAAAACTGCCAAAGCAATAATTCCCCCACCACAAATATTTCTGAATGTCAAATAACACTATCGCTGTATATCTTAAAACAATGTCCATTTAAATAATTCCATTCTAAGAATTTTTTTTCCAATACCCACCCGATTGACACTCGTCATTCAGGTATCAATGCGACTGATTTGTTGGCCAACATTGTTCCCACAGTAAGGACAGGTAGTACAGAGAATGAAAGAATATCCATGCATTGTCCGGGATTCGAACCCAGGTCAGCTCCCTGACCACTATACATTCTGGTCGGCTGAAACTAAGAATTAAAATCGTATCTTTAATCAGGACTATAAAAGACCATATGTAAGAAAAATTCGATCAGAACATCGTACATAATTTATGTAAGTAAAACGTAAATAAACACCATCTGTTGTTATTTCCAAAATTCTGTAAAATCAATTCTTATTTGAACAATTTTTATAATATTTATTTATAAGCTATATCTTTGGTCATTTGCGATAGATTAAACCATGGCTAAATGAAATGGCTATAGAATGGCTAAAAATAGAAAATTCAAGCCATATAAACAAATATAGCTATTTTGACTCATGTGAGAAATTTGAGGGGAAAGTGTGAATACCATTTCATTAGATTTTGCCTAGCTTTACGGTTTTCCGCTAAAGTTATTTTAGATTCATGACGCTTACATGAAAATTTCCCACAAATTGCAAAATGCTAGAAGATTAGGTTTTCATTACGATTAACATACATCCAATGCTATGCAAAATCTTCTTAAATCTATTATCTTGATTTTTTTAACCACTTTATCAGCAATTCGGAGTGAAAGATATTTTAACTTCCAAACCATACCTAAAATAATTTTGAAAAAATCTTATATTTTTGTTTAAAAAATGACCACATTTTTTGTACCTGTTTTCGTTATCTTGCAAGGGGTACATAATCCTTAAAAAATACCGGATGATGAAACAAGTAATTTAGTTGTTCATGTTCATGATTTAGGTTATGCATGGTACATAAAGTCAGACTTAATTTTAAGTATGGATATCTATTTCATTCTTAAGCATCTTATCCTTATTCTATTACACACCATTCTTATTAATTTTAGAACATTTTTAAAATCGGAGAATTTAATTATTTGAGTAGGAAAAAAGAAGAATTTCATTTTTACTAAACCACTTTTAATATACTGAATGTCTTATGTCTGAAAATCGCGTCAATTTTCAGTCATAGTTAAAATTTTGTATTATGGACACAATGTAGATTACTAAACTTTGCGATGTATCATATTTAAATAGAAAAAAATCATTAAATTAAAATATTCTTTATTAATAACGTGAAAAAAAGCTTTTTTAGCTTTAATTTTCAAGGTCTAATAGAAGCGTAGAAAAATATAAGTTTCAAAATGCCGCATTTTTAAATACGTTTTTAAATGCCAAGTTTTAAAATGCCACATTTTTAAATACGTTTTTAAATGCCAAGTTTCAAAATGCCGAGTAGACTACATAAAAAAAGAAAAAATATTTTCAATCTCACCTGAAACATGAAAAAATGAAGTTCATTGCTTTTGAAGTAGTCGGGGGAATTTAAAATAATTGTAGAGGCATTACCGAAAGTGCGCTTCTATTGTTTTTCGTTTTAGGTACGACAAAAAGAGAATTTACATTTTTCTTTTAAGTCCTTTTAAATAAGTAGTTTTCAATTCTTTTTCTCTTCATTTTAGATATGCGTCTGTTAGTCTTGTAGGCAAACGATCGAAATTATGCTCGACGATAAATACCATTTGGTAAGAAAATTGCAATAAAATCTGCATGTAGCGGTCAGGAAAGGATTGAAACTATTTTTATTCGGCTGAGTTTCTGTTGGATTATAAGCACCCTAGATAATTTGAAAAGTGGCTGAAATTCTTGGGGATCTATTTTCTTAAATATTCTTTTAAAACTTTCAGTCTTTAGGAGACATTCTATAAAATGCGAAATAAGTTCCATCGGTTGTTAGCTGAAATACTTAAGTCTACACAAAATGCCTATTTTTTGAGCAGTTCATGACCAGAAAAATCTCTTTTCTCATAGCTTTTTTCTTTTCATTCATACATTATTTCGTCAATGGTTTTCTTATTGCTCATAATATATTGTATTTCTTATAAATAGGTAGTTTTTAACTATGATAAAACTTCCAATCAAATTTTATAGCCTCGATAAACTGAGAATTTTACAACACAGTAACAAAAGAGAGCATTAGACTTATGTAAGAAAAAAAATTTAAAACGGTACATTTTTGAGAAAGGTACACATATTAAATAAAGGTTATTTTTTCATAGTTCTTTACGAAGAGAATTTTTTTCAAACTAAATATTTGCTTTTAATACAGCATATAACCATGTTAAAGTAATTTATTAATACTTTTTAATGACATTGCTTGCTTTTAAGTTCATAAATTTCAAATTTATCTAAATTGCGATTCCTGGAAAAACAATTTTTAATGGTAAAAAATACTTTACATTTCATATCCTTAAAGATAAACATAAATTTGCATTAGAAAGATTGAAAGTTACTTTTTATTCGAATTTCAATTTGATAAATTGGCAATTAATGAGCCTCTAGTTCCATGAGTGAACATTAATTTAGCAATCGAAATAATATGCAGAACTATCAAAATTCAAATGACACCAACTTTTTCTTTACCAGTTAGTTCAAAAATTTATTTTTGACACTTTTATTTATCCCCATAAACACTAATTATAACCAACACATTTTTGTAAAGATACTACATCTTTGAAAATTTAAATTGCTTCACCGTATTTTGTTATATATGAATTTCAAATCCTCAAATATTATTTTTTTCTTCTTTTTGAAAAACCAAAGTTATTTCTAGATTTAAAAAAGAGTTTCGGAATTTTCTCTCAATTAAATTCTTATTTATTTATAAAGTTCTTTCAAGGCTTTCTCTAAAGTAAAATATGCGACACTGAAATAAACTTATTGAAGCTAAAAATATTTTCTGCTCAATAGCTGTCAATTCTGTTTAAAAGAAGAAAAAAAAACTTAATTGTACTACTAAGAAACAAGATTTAAACTTTAAAGTTAATACTTAACTTAAAATAGTTTCTAGCTATCTTTCAATTAAATTCTGATTTATAAAGTTTTGTAACGAGTTTTCTCAAAATTAATGTACGTGATAATGTAATAAACCTACTCAAGCATAAGAAAATACTTGGTTTGAAAACGAACAACTCTGTTAAAAATAACAATATCTCTTATAGTACTACGAAAAAACAAAATTTAAATCTCCAACAAGTTACTTCTTAATAATTTTCGGAATAGTCCTGAAACTAAATTCTAATTTATTTCTAAAGATTTATTAAAAACATTCTCCAAATTAAAGTACATGATGATATAATAAACAACCTACAGAAACATAAGATCATAATTTCGGTTTGATAAAGAACATCCCTGTTAAAAATAACCATATCTCTCTTATGGTCTTACGATGAAACAGAATTATAATCTCAATGAAAAGTGGCCTAAAAATTAAAATTTGCAATTTGTCAAAATATCTAAGAGAGAAAAAGCCTCTGAAGAAGCAAAAAGCACCCGATAAGCCTATGGAAGCACAAGACCAGCTATTTTGTTCACTAAAATGATAATAAAATACTTTCAGATCAATAGCGGACAATCAATAGTTCAAAATTTAAAAAAATAAAAAATTTAAAAAGATAAATGTCTCTTATGGTACTACGAAGAAACAAAATTGGAATCCTAATGTTGCTTCTTTATTTAAAATAGTTTTCGGAATTATCTTTCAATTAAATCGCAATTTATTTATAAAGTTTTGCAAAAGGCTTTCTCCAAGTTTAAGTACGTGATCATTTAATAAACAACCTACTCAAGCATAATAAAATACTTTCAGTTTGATAACGAACAACCCTGTTAAAAATAACCATATCTCTCTCTTACGGCAGTACGAAGAAACAGAATTGGAATCTCAATGAAAAGTGGCCTAAAAATTAAAATTTGCAATTTGTCGAAATATCTAAGAGAGAAAAAGCCTCTGAAGAAGCGAAAAGCACCTGATGATGCCTGTAGAAACACAAGGCCAGTTATTTCGTTCACTAACTCTGGAAGGTTAGTGTGTTATTGGGCCTGATTGCCTCAAGGAAGTCAGATGCTGCATATAACAAGTGATCCAGGACACAAAACCCTCACTTCCTCATCTCAGCATCTTCCTTCATCACTTCTTCATCTTAAAGAAACGCGTCTGCGAGTTATCGCTCGGGCGCGGTTTTTGTTTCTCTAAAAGAGGCGGGATTCTTAATTTCAAGAAAAAAGTGCTAGTGAAATTAGATTTTGAAACTTTCGTTTACTTAGCGTTGGGACTTACATTATCCACAAAAAAAAATGGCTAGAGCGTGCTGGATGCTGTGTCTTGTGCTTTTTGTAGTTTGTTTGCAAAGATCGTGGTCGCAAATGCAATTTATGGACTTAATACAAGGAGATCAAGGACTAAACTTTGATGATCAAGGACTTAACTATGATTCAGGTATGTTCTAAACTTACAAATATTCTGCGAAATCTATTGCTTAAAACACAGTAATTACTTTAGACATTTTTTAAAAGCTGACACAATCTTTCAGCATTTTTCAATGTAGTGATTCTTGTTAAAGTTGACATTTTTAATTGTAAAACTAAATATTAGTTTGAAAATTAAAAAAAAGAATTATTAATTGGAAAGTAGTGGTAATGCTTTTCTTCATAAGAGCTCACTTTATTGAAGAAGTTTTAACTCCTAATAGTTTGAACTTTTCTGAAGTTTTCATCTATCTTCAGCTTTATGTATGTAAAATTCAATTAAAAGACGAGTTTTGACAGATAAGAAATAAATAAGTTTCATTGAAACAAAAGCCCTATTTCAGAAAAACTAGATTTTTATTATATATTATATGTATATGCTTTATTTTATATTAAGTTTAAACTTTTCTGAAGTTTTCATCCATCTAAAGCGTTATGTATGTCGAATTATTTTAAAGGAACGAATTTTAAAATATAAAAAATAAATCATCAACTTTAATTTAAGCAAAAGCATAGTGTTTCAGAAAATTTTTTATTTCTACGGTATTTAAAATAAATAAATGTGATTAACGTAAATGCTTTTTTTATATTGGCATTAATACATTTTATTATACCTCTAAGAACAATAAATTTATTTCAATTAAATTTTATGCAAATATGTTAAATATATTAAAACGAAGTACCTTTGATTCTGTTTGTATTGATTACTTAATTCTATTTACGTTTGAAACAATATTCATTTATGAATATTTAAGGCTTTAAACAATGAAGCTTTAATGAAACAATTTTAGTTCCTATAAAAATGCTACTTTCGATTATTCTAAAAAGCGATATCAATAATTCACTTATTTGTGATGATAGTGTATAGTTAAAGAAATTATTAACAATTCATATTTTTTTAGCAATTTTAAGCTAGAACGTTAGCAATAATAAGTTATATAAAATATTTATTGTAAGGAGAAAATTTATTAGAAAAAAACCATGTATTGCATAATCTCAACATTTCTATCATGAGTTTTAAAAATTACGTTAAGTGAAACGTAAAATACTTTAAAAACAATGTTGCTAAAAAAATCTTTTACAATTGTATGTTTTTATTTTCAGGTAAAAGTGCGATACTGAAAATTTTGACGGTGATAATTTTTAAAACGTGTATTATTATAAATACAGAAGGTTATTTTTTGCTACTAACATTACTCAGAGCCATCTGAACATAAATTTAAAAGTTTCGGCAAATTCTATCAGTTGACAAATGCAGACATGATAAAAACAAATCTCTGGCAAAAATGTAGTTCTGAAAGTCACCTGTAGGGGAAATATGGCGCTAGTAGTTCGCAAAGCAATTTAATATATATGCACAACTATTCAGAATTCTGCGACAGTATAAATCATTACAATCGTGAAGCATAATAATAATAAGGAAAAAAGTCTAATAATAACTCAGAAATCCACGTGTGTTTCAAAAGGGGAGATGAACTTAAGAGTCTAATTCAACAATGCACCCTTTTTCAATTTTTTAGTTATTTATATTTTTAATAAAATGCTCTTCTAAGTTTATTAGTTCATTGAATGTCTAATTAACTAGAATTATTCTTATTACTTAGTTTCCAGTTGCACCAATTGCACATCAATTTTTTTAACAAGTCAAGAATTTGCACTACGAAGTTATCTGTCCTAACCATTTGATTAATTAAGAATCCTGATTTCTATGAAACTAAAATGACTGCGAACACGTTCAGCTGTATTGTTGAACAGTTTTCGGGATTAGAATAAAGCATCCAGAATAAACAACTCAAATATAAACAATTTTCAGAAATTTTTGTTTAATTATGTACACATGGAACGTAAAAAATGACAAAGATTTTATAAAAATATTATAATAGATTAAGATGTATGATAAAGTTTTTCTTTTGTTTCTACGTTCATAATAATGATAATAGTTGCTGAAACATTGTTTAATGTTCAGAAAGATATTACTTTTTACTGACCACCGAGAAAAATTATAATAAAGAACTCATTGGCATTTTAATTATTTATGTGCCAAAAAATTTTAGCATGTGGAATATTAAAAAACGTAAACTACTTTTGAATCGTGTAAATTATACTGAATACTGTACAAAACCTGAAAGTCTGAATACGATATACATCCAAGAAATGTTCAAAATGAATACAAAAAAAAAGAATGCAAAAAAAAACATACTACAAGCGAAATATTCCGATAACAGTAGAAAAAATTGCTGCCTCATTTTGAACATTACGGCGCGAATGCAAGCACGAACAATTAAACAGTAAGATTACAATAAGCGATTAAATTTACAAATCTTTACCTTGCGGGTTTCCATAGTATATTGAAAAAATATACTGAATTCAAATTGAGTGTCTGATTTTAAAACTGATATCGCGAAAAGAAAGAATGACTCATTTTTTACAACTTATAACTCAATAACCTTGCAACTTTCCATTTAGGATGCATATTTAAGGACAAGAATTTAAAATTACTATCTATTGAACAAAAAAATAAATAAAATAAAACTTAAAAATAATTTTTGAATTTTTTATTTTTCTAACGAGAAATTCGTTAAATATTTGAATAAACGATCTCAAAAAGATGACCGTACAGCCAATTTTGAAAGAAAGGGACAAATGGCGGCTTTGCTATTAAGCAATAGAGAGATTTTGCACTGCTTTCGGCCCATCTATATACCGTCAACAGAGATCACTACTGCGCAATCTCCAACCGGCCAGTAATTACTTTTCTCTTATGGAGTGGGACCCTAATTGAGAGTAAGGAAGAAGTTAAACGGAATTAGAAGTTCGTTATATATACGCATGGAAACAATTTTAAGCCTTGCAGACCTAAATATTATAGCGTTTAAAGTTTAATTTGTGGTATTTTAAATTTTTTTATTTAAATTCAGTTGAAATCTATTTTAAATACAAAATTTATAAAATTTAATATCACTTTTCTTAACTACTTGACTGAAAGTTTCGCGTCAAAAGTGAAATTTCATGAAATGTATCATGAAGTTTATATCATATGAAATAAATGGACTGACTAAGGTTTAGTGGCTATTCTGCACTAACTTAAATAACAATAAATATTCACAGTAACTAAAACAAAATTACTAACTAAATCAACTGCAAAACCAAATGGGAAGGGAAATTAATACGGACAAGTTAAAGAAAATTAGGGTAACTTTATCTGCAGAACTCTCGTTTATTTGTTTTTAACTCTGTAAAGTTCATGTCTAACTATCTTTAAAAATTGAAACAGTTTCCCTGCAATAACAATTTTAAAATGCTGCTGTAACGTATTCAATTTAGTCAAGAAGTATGTCGAACATTATGTAAAACTAGTTTACAATTTTCAAATCATAAAATTATTGTTAGTTTATATTCATTACTTAGTTACAAAATCAAAAGCTATTTTTTTCCTATAAATTTGATGCTATTGGCTGGAACTTTTTAAGTTCAAAATAACCCTATGAATTTTTAAACCCAATCATTTGTTATAAAATCTCTCTAAACTTAAAATGCAGTTTCAGGTTTATTTCCATATATATCAAATGCGATAAAAAAGATTGTTATGAAGTAAAATTATATTTATACAAAGAAACTAGGCATCTGTTTCTAAATATATGATTAATAAAGCAGTCTCAATAACTAGATCTAAATTTTTATAAAATGTATTTCAATTTATAATAAGAAAATTTGGTAATTATAACATAGATTATGTTATAATTTGGGTTTTATATCTATTTTATCTTATGGATGAAATTGGCTTTCATTACTTAATTGTGCATTTTCTATTAGCGTAATGAGTGTGAATTTCTATCTTGTATTGCTAATTTATAGTTTAAATAGAAGTTTTAAAATTTGCATATACAGGGTAATTTAAAATAACATTGTCAGAATGATAGACAAAACAAGGACAAAGGAAAAAAATCACATAGGAGCATGAGCAGCAAATGCTATCTGGAACCGTTAGAAGAATTAATAAATTATGCTTAATATACAAGAAAAACAAAAAAAAAAATTATTCTACATAATTTTATTTATCTCGTATTTCTACAAATATAACATGTTTAAGTTAAGTTTTTAGCTAGGCGTCAGAGAATTTGATATAGATTGCGAATCCTTTCAAGTAAACCATGTGTATTTCCGATTCAGCCTGCTGCCGCAATAATTCTCCCTAAGTCTTCTTATGATGTCCTCTTATGATGACTATCCATTTTGCAATTAAATCCTTTTAGAAATTTTATAGGATAAAAAAAAACTATTGGAGACAAATCTAGTGAACGTGATGGCCATGCAATCAGCCCACTTTGATATCACTTACGACTCCACGCTCCTTTGAGATTTTTGTTAGCCTGCTTTAACTTTTACTTTGACTATGTTATTTTAGATCACCCTATTAATAAGGTAAAAATTACGCAACCTCAGAAATAAAAATCATACAATGATTCCCGTCCTTTAAAACATACATTTCTCTACATTGTAAAAAATGTTGTACAGTTTCCACTAATTTTGTGTTGAGATAAACTAAATTACATTAAGTACAGAAGTACAGCTGCTATCGTTAAAAAATACAGGAAATTAATAAAATAATAAATGTCTGAAAGAATAAGTGTAAATATATTAATAAAAATGTACTTGTTTTTTAAGTCATTAAATTGATTCTAATGCGCACGACAATGTGTTGTCAATGAACAAACAAAAAATTAATAAATAAAACTAAAACAGTGAAAAAGTAAATAAAAAATCCTACTACATGCACCGTAAAAAATTTTAATTTACCTCAACACCAAAAATGATGGCAACAGTACATCAAATTTTTTTACAACTTACTAAATCTATTTTCTGCCAACAATGTAAACTTTGTTTCGTTAATATTTTTTTCATAAATTCGAGTAAAGAAATTAACCTGCTTTCGCTACTGAAAAAAAATTGCTCACGCAGAATACATAGTTTATTATAGCTTTTATGAGTAAAACTTTTTCTATTTTCATTAAAATAGACTTTTCAGTCTAGTGGAGTTAAATTACTAAGACTCGAAAACCAAACGTAGAATAAAAAAGTAATTTGTAAAGCATTATTCAAAAAATTAATGATGTGGAACCAAAAGAAGATCCGTATACTGTCTGAGAAAAGTTGGATGGTAACTTTTTCCCCCTTCCTCAGTTTTAGTTTTATGTTTCAGCATTCGTGCACTTGACCTACCGAAGGGAAAAAATAAAATTGGTATATGTAAAATAAAAAAAGAAATATTTGAGGTTATGATGAGAAGATGTCTGGCATACTGAAGAGATAGTTATTTAAAAAAAAAAAACTCATCTAATGAGATTCTGATCTATTGATAAAAGGATGATTTTTGGGTTGGGCATTAACCTAGCTACTACAGTTTGTTACTGTAAGTTTGCATCATTAAATTGATTATATTGATAGCTGCAGTTTTATAGGTTGGAATTCTTGCGGTTGAATATTGAAATTTGCATAATGGTTCATCGGCTACAAATACTTCCTGGTAATCCAGAAAAAAGCTGAATTTTGCTATAGGGGTTAAAAGAAAATTTTTTTAAATGTGAATAATCAATTTATAATTGATTAATCGCAAACATGCCAAATTACTTAAATACTCTTGTAATTAAAATATTAATGACATAAATGCATAAGAATTTCAGTTAAAAATACATTACTGGAATATGCAATTCTAAGCAGATAACCAATGAGTTTTGAAGAAGATAAACTTGTAGGATTATTCTGTGCTAAACAATCGCTACAATTTTACAATTGAATTGTCTTAAAAGCATAAAATTCTCAAATTTAAACACAATTTAATCGCTTCAATTAAGCATACAAAAGTTTAAAAAAGTAGTAAAATTTCAACATTATGTAATAATTTATTCTTAAAGGATGGCAAAAATTGTAGGCATAGAACTAGTTAGTAAACTCTCACAATAATCCTAGAATCACTAAAACTCGCAATTTAGTGCTTTGAATTTTTTTGAAATTGAGTTAGATTGGTCTTCAAAATTTTCCAAAATTAATTTAACATTTTGTTTTCAGTGTTCGATTTTTAAAGTTTTTCAAAAAAAGGACTCAGAGGCTTCCCTTTCAAAAGAAACGATCTTCCAATGAGAGTTGGATGACTTAAATTAGTGCCTTCAGTTGAAATTAACTTTTTAACTCATGTAACACAAAATATACTTTTAACCATTTTTTTCGGAGATATATATTTAAACTTTTAAAAACATGAAAATGTTTGAGAATAGGCTTAATGATTAGCTTGGGGCAATATAGCGATAAATCACATTTTTTGAAGGTGACATTTTTACATTGTTTCCAGATTCGTGATNGTTAGATTGGTCTTCAAAATTTTCCAAAATTAATTTAACATTTTGTTTTCAGTGTTCGATTTTTAAAGTTTTTCAAAAAAAGGACTCAGAGGCTTCCCTTTCAAAAGAAACGATCTTCCAATGAGAGTTGGATGACTTAAATTAGTGCCTTCAGTTGAAATTAACTTTTTAACTCATGTAACACAAAATATACTTTAAATATATACCTCCGAAAAAAATGGTTAAAACTTTTAAAAACATGAAAATGTTTGAGAATAGGCTTAATGATTAGCTTGGGGTAATATAGCGATAAATCACATTTTTTGAAGGTGACATTTTTACATTATTGTTTCCAGATTCGTGATTTGCAAGTTTTCGAGATCTCCACTAAATGAGATAAATCCGTTAAATAAAATTAAAAATTGAAAATGAATAAAAGTAAAAATCAAAGCTTGAAAATCACCGTATCCGAGAGTTTATTTTTCGAATTTTATTGCTAAACTCGCAAATTCTTCCAAAATACTGAGCTTATTTTTATACTTTGGTTTTTCACTTTTATTTTCCCCTTTTACGTTGGCAACTTAACATTTTATTCTTCAAGTCTTCGTTATAGATTACCTCATTCGCATCTGGCGAGTCTTGAGAATAGACGCCCGTTTTTGAGCGCTTAAAACATGTCGACTTTTTCAAATTTTATAATTTTTGAAGCAAATAGAGTTTTTATGTAATCAAGTAAATCTTTCCGCTTCAATCCTTTGGAATTATTCATTTAATTATTCACAAATGCACTTGATAATAGTTTATACCTTAGATTCGCATTTTGAATAACAGAAATTACTATTTATTGAGAGAAAACAAAAAACAAGAAATAGAACCTTTTTTGTGAAGCTAATAGTTCAATTGATTAAAGCAAAATAATTGATTATAAAGTTCCTAAACTAAATATTTGATGAAACATCTTTCCCCTGTTGTTTTGCATTATATCATTTACAAAACTTTTACTAAATTAATAAAAAAAATTTACTTTTATATTATTTTATGAAAAATAATTTTTTCATGAGAATATTAACTCGAATTTTTCTATAAAAAAATCATGCAACTGTTTTGTAAATTTAAAAGTTGACTGATATATACAATTCATTTTTCACATTGAACTTCTTTGGAGCTGAATAGTAATTTGTTGATTGAGCCGAATGAAATCGCAACATTGTTTACAATTGTTTGGCATTGTTTACAATTTTACTTATTAATGTAGCTATTTTATGTATTGTAAAGTAAATAATCTATAGTTTAATCCAACAAAGATATTTTAAATTTCATAAGTTTAGATACTGATTACTAACTCCCTAAACTCTGAAGCAATCATGACCTAAAAATAAAGTAAAACCTGCATAGAGTTACTTTAAAGTTTTTAATATTAAACACACTTGTAAAAATTTGAATGGTATAAGATTCTTCGCAATTCAAAATAAGAAAAAAACAATGTCAAATTCTGATGAATTATTATTGAGAAGGACTGGACTAGTATACTAGTTTAATTTTTGGGGAATTTGAAAGTTTTGTTGATAATGCCTGCCATCTAGTGTCTTTCTTATCCTTTCATTTTGCTCCAGCAATCGGATTTTGATATTTCTACTTTCGCTTCCTTCCATAGTGATTCGTCAATTTTGTAACGTTACGTCAGATTGATTCGACTGTTTCAATTAATTTACTATCCTTAATGCGTAAATAATTCAGACTTCATTTTTAACAAAGACTTAAGGGCAGTGATTACGAAATACTAAATCTCTGAATTCGCCACAAAGTTTAACGAATTAAAGTATAAAAGATCATTTAACTTTCTAATTATTTTGAAAATGCCGCGACAGTCCTTAAAAATTGACACTTATTGTTTGTCATAATAGGGTTTAAGAGTTTGCAAAAGCATTATTTACTTATATATTTAACTACATGTGCTTAAGCATGTTTAATAAAAATAATATATTTTTTAGGTTGGCCTCCTGGTCAAGCGATAAACTATGTGAGATTAGCAAGAGACTTGAAAACACAGTTTTTCAATACATTAACAGGTAAGAAAAAATATTTTAATCCCTGTTAAACATTATTTAATTAGTCAGAATGCATGAGTCAAAATTTTAGACTTGCTTGCTTGCTTACAAAACTGTAGCGCATTGAGGCTTTATCTTTCTACATAAAGTTATGAATTCAACTAACTTTAACTAAATTTTGTATAATGAATCTTTAAAATAAATTCACATATAGTCGGTGATCTTTTTATCTTATCCATAACTCTATATGGGCGTTTGAGAAAACTGACTTTGGAACTAGAAAAGCACATTTGGAAAAAAAATATAGATCTCAAAAAGCGTGTTTTAGAGAATGGACATAGTTCGATGTGCTCGTTAAAAAAGGGGAAAATACCTTTAACTACGCATTGAAGAAAATGGACATACTTAGAAACGTGCGTTTGAAAAAGAAATTGGACATAGTTTCGTTAATCCTTGCTGGTCATATGTCTACTTTCAACTACCAAAGTTGATTTCAATTAACCACATTGTGTTTAATTGAAAAGCATTTTCGCTTCTTAAAAAAAAAGATTTTTTCTTCAATATTTTACATATTATGTTTTTCCAACGAAATTCCGTGCTCTGTGAAAACTATGCATATGTTAACAAAATACATGTAGGTGATAGCGCATTTTGAGTTCAAACGTGGATGTTGAGTTATATTCATTTTTCAAACATACATCTCGAGCTATGTCCAAAATAAAAAATTCACAGATGGACGAACAATTTTTTAAACAATGTCTGGAATATTCAAATATTAAAATTTTATTTCCAAATAATGTAATTCAAATACTTAAATTGTATTCAAATACATAAATAGGTTGAGAAAATTAGAATTTTCTCAACTTCTTTTGACAATTGCATTCTGCCTACACTGTACCAAATTATTGATCATAGAATAAAGTAGTCATACAATACAAGAATAGCATGAAGAAGTAAGCTCATTTGAGTATATTTATAATACTTCTTTTGCTCTAAATGGGTCCATTATAAGAACTTCTACGGAGGTAAGTGGAGTTTTTTTTTCAGAAGTTGCAAATCATGTCATATCGTGCTATTTATTTCTACTTCCCTATAATTTCTTCTTTTCCAGGTGACTGACTATATCTACCTGAGATGAAGTAAAATATGATTTACTTCGTTATAGTTGTCATTTCTAGATCTTATCATTTTCAACGGGACACTTGTTGATGGCACAAGTGTATTATTTCGTAATGACACTAAGGAAAGAATAATAAGTCTGATGACATGTTGCGGTCGGAATATTTTAACCCTCTATTATGAAGCTTTATTAGGAGTAACGTTCTTTTTCTTTAAGGATTATTTATGAGAATTTAAGCTGAAAATTTTATATTTGGTCGTTTAATTGTTATGATTACTGAAATATAAGTATTTAAATTTTCGATCGAACCAGGATACTTGATGGAGTATCACAAAAATTTCTACTTTGCATAATTCAAATAATTATTTGAAAGGGAGCTATTGTTTCCTTAGATATTTAGCATGCCACATTGTTTGAAGATTATTTTGCTAGTATGTTTGATTTGACGTGTCAAAGCGTTGATAATGTAAAAGAAAATCAAAATGCTTCATTTCGCTATTAGTCCTTGTGTTAAAATAAATAAAACCTCCAATTCATCAATCCTTTCTTTTCATTAAAAAAATATCCGACATTATAAATCACCTAAGATTAAACAATTTATTTCATTGTTTGTGAAATTATGACATAATAAGTTGGTGCGTTTTGTTAACTGAAAAAAATCATTCTTTTTTAAACTCTAAAAATTGTCAAACTACGTTTTAACGAATGTTTAAAGATAACTATATAATATATTGTTTACCTTCTTTTACACTTTCTTTGATTAAACGCACGTTTTCATAATCTCCCCATCAAATATATTGACTATGCTTATGGATAGCACTTTTACTATATATTTTTCTACCCGAAAATTTATTACGTATTTGCGCATGCGCCAATTTGCAACAATTTCATCAAATTAGGGCTGAGATGAGAGAAAAGATGATTGGTTGTTAACTTTTCTTTAGAGTTAATTCGCACCTTGGAACTACAGAAAGTTCACCCTTAATCGAAAATAGATCATAAATTGTATATTTTTCCTTTCGTAAATAAACAGAATCATATTTTACATCAATAATAAACAGCCAACCCACATAGTGGATGATGTATGAGTACCAAGTAATGATCGGAATATTTAACTTAAATTGCTGTTAAATATTCGGATTTTTATATGCTTAAAGATAATTTTAATATCAAGTTTGCAGAAAAAATACAAAAAAATACTTCGTTTTGTAAGTGTCAATGATCTTGATCAATGCTTTTATATTAAAACATTTTTTTGAAAAATGAATTATTAACATTCTTTGAAAGGAAGGTGCCCGAGTTCATTATTAAAAATCATTCTTTAAAGAATTATTTATTGAAATTGCATCAAATTACTTTTTACACTGTGTTATTTAACTGTTGTAATCCTTTCACTATTGCTAATAAGTTTACAATTAAAAACTGAATATTAATCTCACAACTCAATTGCTAATATATATTTATATAAGATAAAAATATATAATAAAAATTATGTGATAAGTAAATTCTTATCCAAGACAAAAGTTTAATGACCTAATAAAGTAACAATCTTCCAATTAATGATTATGTGACATAATCAGAGAATAAAGTAAAGCGTCAAATCAATTTCATATCCAAAAAAAGTTAGAATACAACATTTAATGGCGCAAGAGCCCGAAACAATAAAAATACTCCCAACTAAAACGAATTTACGTCAGCGAGACAAACGTAAATGATGTAATAAATTATGTTTGGTTTAGTATCGTGGAACGCATGTTTTCCCAAAAAGGTTGCAAAGAAACTGTTTTTTAGAAAACAACAGTTTTTCATATCAGCAGTTTTTTTTTTTTTTTTACTGTCTTGTCCTCTGTTATACCTGGTTGTTTCACGCATTTCCTTGCACCGTTAAAAGCAATTCTAGTGATTTACTTAAATATTTATAAGGGTTTCTGAATCACCAAATATTATATTTTGGTTTTCCTCTCCGTATAACGAAAATGCGGGTATGTTCCATCCAAAAGTCGTACGCGAAATCTAGTTTGTCCCAAATTGTTTGATTCAGGAGCTCTTCTTGTTAGCTTGTCTTCTGGTTAGATTCAAAATAACAGGGCTACGGAATTGAACATTGATAGTCATAAACTAAGAATTGGGTTGTCTGTTCAACGGGTTGTTAAATAAAAAAAATAATAATGTTTTAATTAAGGATTCTTTGAGTATAAATCTTTGAAAATTACTATCAGTCAGGATGGCAATGTAAATTGCTTTTCTATATTGGAAATGTTTTCTAATTCTAAAGTTCAAGTACTAAAAGCAAAAGCGAGAATAAAGTCATGAACTAAGTCTAGCACTGCAATATTTGAAAAAAGGAAAGAAAAAGAAAAAAACTCCAGGTTTCGTGGAAGTCATTGAATCTGAGCTTATTTAAAATAAAACCTCTGTAGATTTTGAAAAGATTAATAGAATGTAGATCATGATATGACTAAAGATTTCATTTATCTAATAATTTATTTGGGGGTATTTTCTTTCGAATAAAATAGAGGATATCATTTTTAGTATTTGAGGTTAATTTAATGAATAGTTTAATGAATAGTTTAATAAATAATTTGATTGTAGGTATATTTTTTTTTCCTAATTTGCAACAATCACAGTAAAACAACAATCCTTACGAATGAAAAATATCCTTTGTTCAAGAGAAATTGCCATAATTATTTTTCGTTGAGAAATCGTTGGAACTAGGCAATAATGCCGGTTTGTATTAAAAACAACAGTTAAATTTATGTTTCACTAAATAATTAGAAAATAACAGTGAAAATATTTTTAATAAAAGTTTTCAATAAATTAAACCTTGAATTATCAAGCTTTTTACCGTTTATATATATTTTCGACAATAAATTAAAAGTAAGCAAATCTGTACTTATTCCTTACATTTTTCATACCAATGTCAAGCATTTAGAGAAAACAAGGATTTTTTTAAAGAAAAAAAATAAACATCATAGTCATATTACTTTATTAATATTTTATCGGTATTACATGCCATAAATGTTAACATTAAAAATTACTCTAAAAGGGGCAATTATATTATTTTAAATCATTAAAAGCTATAATAAAATTCATTGAATATAAATATAAGTGATATAGATAATTTAGATTTTAAATAAAGTTTGATAAAAGACGCTTATGTAAAACAAATAATTAGACATTAAGCACGTGTTAAACATGTTTTCATTTGCAAATAGATGTTCTAATATTTTTCGAATTCTCTGAACTATACAGACTTAGTATCAAAATTTGAAAAACTATCACCTATTTCAGAAATTGTGTCGTTTTTACTCTGCTTAATTTGGTGCTCTAATAAGCTTAAAAATCCGAAATATATACAGAACATTGAAATTTAATGATTACAAAAATTTTGTTTTCATGCAAAAAATAAACACACATTTTTTTAACCAAAATAATAAGCTTAAACTTCAAATTTTCGCAAAAAAAAATCGCAAAACTAAAATTTTAATTTTTGTTTACTTAAAAAAATCTTTACAGTAAATAATCGAAGTACTTACAGCACTTAGTGAGAACATAATTTTAAATGCTTAATAAAAGCAACTTATAAACAAAACAATTGAAAGGAATATCGTTAATCAAGATCGACATAATTTCTTTATGAAGATTTTAAGAACTTTAATCAAGACTTAATCAAGACTAGATCAAGATTCTTAATCAAGATGTCCTGATTAACATAGTTTACCAAGAAAATATAATTTTGATTACCAAAGTGGCGGTGCGACAAATATTTGTATAAAATACTATTTTAATATGTCTTAAGAATAAACAGAAAAATAAATATACCCTATTTTAAATATATTTCAGATAACATTTCAATGTATATCATTGTAAATAACAAGTTTACAGATCAAATCTAGAAATTTTTGTAATTGAACTTTACTAATTACATAGCTTTTTTAGAAGCTGTCGGAAGTTGACAGAATAACATTTATGCAACATTCACACCATAAGATATCTTTTAACCTGTTGCTTTATTTAAATTTTAGTAGCCATCAAAATTTAATTTATAACTAGAGAGAATAAAACTTATATAATCAAATATTAAAAATAGCACTTGTTTAACAACAACACAAACATTAAATTTAGCTAGCTGTGAGAAAATTGTCAAAATTTCTGAAGCCTAAAATAAAAACTCAAAATATAAAGCTTTTAAACTTTAATTGTTTATTGCTAGGAACATGAAGTCAACACTCTTCTGAAAGAAAATATTTTTTTAATTATTCAACTAGGTATTTTAACGGGTACTTTTTGTTGTTATAATCATCATTAATACTGTGATCAGTGCATTAAAAAAAGCACACACATTTCTTTACATAATATTGCAAATATATTTATGACGATATACTAAATACCTTTGTTTTTTTTTCTGCAGGTGATAAACAGCAACAAGGTGGAGCAGCAGCTGCTGAAGGAACCAAGCGACGAGATCGAATAACTGCTTTGTTTATTAAACTGATGACTAGACTTTTCCGTCAAAGACCTTTCCAAAGGCTTCTCTGCGGTTCAAACGCCACTTGTTTGGCTAACTTGAACACACCAACATTTTAAGGTTCGGCTTTTTCTTCCCCAGCCAAATCTTCCTATACAAACATCGGTCTTCTAAAGACTGTTGCCAAATCGATCTTTCAAGACCGTAGCTGGCCTACTGTTTATCTAACATTTTGAAATGTAGTATGAAGTACTAATATGTTATCCTGCATGTATATTTGCTTGCTTGAAATAAAAAAATTATATTTGTGTTTTTAAATATCTAAACATATATCAATCTCATAAGTTACATAAATAGTCACGTGCGTGTTATTTACTTTGAAATACTAATTTTATCGGTGTGAACTTGTTTCAATCTTTACCATTTGCGTCAATTATCTTTGTTTCTTGGACATTCCGAGCTAAAAAAAAGATCAAGCTGCCTAGAATGCAATTAAATGCTTGTGTGCCATTCGTATTTAAGTACGGAGGTTCTTCAGTGATTTCAGAACTCGAATCTGTGACTTTCTCAGTTATAGACAAGGGGGCTTAGTCCAGCAGTGGACTGATCGTTAAGACGCGATCCCCAGTAGAACGCCGAAGTCAAGCATCATTAGTTGCGGTCAGTGTGTGTGGGTGACCTCTTTGATCAGCCTACAAAGCGACCGAGGATGTGCGGTATCTGTCCTTGTAATACTGTTCTACCGTGAAGTGCTCGGCTTCACGCGCAGGTTGGTGGGCTACCGAAGCTGGGGAGCGATCTCCTCAGCAGAGGATCGAAATTGTGATGGCACGTCTTCGGATCATCGTCAGGGATGTTTCCCAGACAGTCACCGATAGCCCATTGTCCAGCTCTAATGCGACGTAAGCAAACAACAGCAACCATAATCTATTTCGGTATTCCTGCTTGTCTTACTTCGATTAAGCACTTATATGCTATCCTCTTGTAAAGAACTGATTGACTTCGTGGCTCGAACCTAATACCTTCTCTGTCATATGTGCTTATGTGTTATTCATGTTCAATCACAACGAATCTTCAGTGATTTTGGATCATGAATATGCAATTTTTTTCAGTTATAGTACAGAAATTTTATTTATTGATAATCTCAATCTACCAGTTTCTCCAACTTGGATCTAATGTTATTCTCCACGCAAATATACTTTTATACAACTCTCTAATTTGTTTTCTATTCCCTGTGGTGCACTAAGATTTTCAGTGTCTTTGAAGTTTAAACCTGAGACCCACTCTGTTACAAGCCCTTGTAAATTATTCACGATTGAGCAACGAGTTTCTTAAAGATTTCGGATCACGAATTTTTTTTTTTTTTTCGTTTATGGCAGTGGAATATATTCTATCGACTATCTCAGCTTTTCAGTTTCTCTAACTTTGATTTGATGCTATTTTCGATGCAGCTATGCATTCTCATTAGATTTTCCAACTTTGAGCTGTCTAGGTTTTCGCGAGAACTATAAATACTGATAGCGAAATTTCTAGAAGAACATTCGAAATCTGACCCCTTTACCTTTCCAATATTTAAAAAAAAGATTATTTTTATTAGAGAAACTCTGTCAGGGATTTCAATTTTCAGAATATTAAATTGAAAGGGTCGAATATTCTTTTAGAAAAGTTACTACCACACCTATCTAGTTTTCCCGAAATAAGCTAGTCAGATTATTCAAAATTTGGATAAGCTATACTTTGTCAATATATTGGTATTTTATCTATATATTGATATTATTTGTATTTTGGATAAGCTAGTCAGCTTATCCAAATTGTTGTAGCTGTTCGCTTGAGAGAGCTGAGATTCTGAAATATCTTCTTGACCCGAACCTAAAGATTTAGATAACATTCATTTTCTAATTTCTTACATGAAGCACAAAATTATTCTACTTAAATTTTCCTATTAAACCCTTGTTCAAATACTTAAAGGAAAGAGCTATTGAAAACAAATTAAACAAGAAAGTTTCAAATGACATTTTTGGAATGACAACAAAATTCGAGCCTGCTGTCTCCCATACGGAAATGTGATTGGAGAAAGGTCAGTGCACCGAAGCCACGAAAGTCACATTTGAAGCTCACAGATTTTACAAATATTCCTGTCTAATATTTCCTCGTAAGTGTCAAAATTCTTTATCGATATCAAGGTCAAGGTACAAACATGCGACCTTGTGTGTCGATCTAGGTCATTTCTATTGCTTAAAAAATAATGGATCTAGCAGAGAAAAAAAATTATTAATGGCGCAATATTATTTCATTGAGCACTTTTAATCAAATGGTTGTAAATAGTTTTTATATGTTTAAATTTTAATCGAAAAATATAAAATTACTTTCTCTGAAAATGGTTCATAATTTTAAATTTCATTTAATCAATTGAACATCGCAATTCCATGATTTACGTCAAACAAGATTTTATCTTATTAGACGAAAGCCTAATATTTTAGCAGTAATAGTTGTAGCACTTTATTCACGTTGCATTGAGCTACATAATGAGCAATTGGCGACGATCTGGAAAACATCCCTGAGGATAAAGATATGCCGTCACTATTTTGATCTTCTGCAGAAGGGATGGCTTCCTCACTACATACCTCATGGTACTACTAACTACGCCTTACGGTCGAGCTCTTTACAGTAGACAGTATAACAATACCACGCACACCCACCCGCTCACTGACCGCAGTCAATTATGCTTGACATCGGTGATCTACTGGGAACTGTGTCTTACGATCAGTTCACTGTGGGACCTAGTATCTTAGATAATTCTTAAAATGTTCTAATAATGTTGTATCCACGAACTAAACACGTTACAATTTAATTAATGCCATTATGTTAGCTATGTAGCCGACTGGCCTGTGTAGGGGTTAGGGAACTGCTCTTACGCCAGAAAGATTCTGGGTTCGAATCCCGGGCAAGGCATGGATGTTCTTTCCTTCTCTGTACTATCTGTCCTTACTGTGGGAGCAACGTTGGACCACCTAATATGGTGCCCCTGAAAGAGTGGCCAACAAATCTGCCCTTCAGGTGCGTGTATGACCTAGGTCATTATCCAGGTGGGCATTAGAAAAAAAAATGTTAGTTATGTGGTAGTAGTAGGACTTCGGTCTGGGAAATGTCCCTAAGGTTAATTTTACGACATGCCAACACAATTTTGATCCTCTGCAGAGGGAATCGCTCACCCACTTTGGTAGCGCAATGACCTGCGAGAAAAAGCGAGCACTTAACTGTAGAAGGTTAACTAGGACCGATACCACTTACCCTCTGCCCCTAATCAGGCGGATCAAAGTGGTCGTGGTCACCCACCTGCTTACTGACCGTATGACTTCGGAGTTCTTATGGGAGCCGTGTCTTTATGATCAGTCTAATACGAAACTTGTTGCTTAGAAATCATGAATTTTTTAAAATTTTCCTAAGCGCTTAATGTTGTTGTTGTTACTTTACGTCGCACTAGAGCTGCACAATGGGCTATTGGCGACGGTCTGGGAAACATCCCGGAGGATGATCCGAAGACATGCCATCACAATTTTGATCCTCTGCGGAAGGGATGGCACCCCCGCTCGGTAGCCCGACGACCTGCGCACGAAGTCGAGCACTTTACGGTAGNTTATTTTTGGATTTTAAAAAGTCTCTCAAGAAAGCAATTTACAAAAATAACTATAAAATTTGAGAGAAATTTAAGGCTGTCATTGATGTAACACATAAAATCTGTACAAAGAGAAATGTTAAAGTTAAACAAATAGTAAGATATCAGAACAGCTGGTAAATTATAATAGAGCATTAAATCAAAGCTAATTTAAGAATAATTATTGTTGATGTAGTTTTAATTATTGCAAATGATCTATGGCGAGGAATTCACTAACTTTTTTTAGATTTGAAATAACATTTTTTAGACTTTAATTCTAATTTTAAGTGACAATAAGGAAATCGGTGAAATAATTTCTAAGCAATAAAACGTCAAAAAGTCGTCGAAAGTGGATTTAATTTTTGTAAATGATCTATGGCGAAGAATTCACTAACTTTTTTAAGATTTGAAATAACATTTTTTAGACTTTAATTTTAATTTTAAGTGACAATAAAGAAATCGGTGAAATAATTTCTAAGCAATAAAACGTCAAAAAGTCGTCAAAAGTACATTTAATTACTGTAAATGATCTATGGCGAAGAATTCACTAACTTATTTCAGATTTGAAATAACAATTTTTAGACTTTAATTCTAATTTTAAGTGATAATAAGAAAATCGGTAAAATAATTTCTGAGCAATAAAACGTCAAAAAGTCGCAAGTTTTATTTTCATGATCCATTTGATGGATTCTCCATAAAATTTGGATTTGTTTGTAACATAAATTAAATAAATTGCTACATGTTTTCGAAATGGATAGGTGGCGGACCCAAGTGCAAATGTTAAAAAGTTAAGTATGATAAATTAAATTGTTCACTCGCATGACATTAAATTAAAAATAAACAGAATTATTTGATTAAAATTCAATTTTACTTTTGTTTGCAAAAGTGTCTTTGTCCCAGAGTGCGTAATTCGGGGGGGGGGATTAATTTTTATTGACTACATGTGATTTTGCATTTGGTCTGCCGTTAAGATTTTTAATGTTGGGTTTTAATTTTTAACATACCGTAATGAAATAGGTTGATAAATAGTTATGTTTTAGCGAGCACATTTTATTGGCAAAACATAAAAATAGTAAAATGACTCCCATTTTGTGTAGTATCAACTAGCCGTTTACTTGAGGTATTAAAACAAATATTTATACCTGTGTCTCCAATAAAAATAAGCGTTGATAAGAACAAGGTATTGTATAGAAATAAATATATAAATTTCAATAGCAAAAGAGCTGAAATTCGTTAAACTGTACAAAACTAAAATAGTTTAACTGCTGAGCTATTAAAAAAAATATAAATACTTTATGATAGATTTTGAGAAAAGCGACTTAACTATTCTCTTTCCATTGCTAAACACTATCAATGTTAAAATAAATTTCTAAAAACTGATATATTTTTTTTCTTAAAAAAAACACACACGTTTATTTGCTATATGCATCTTATTAATACAAAAATGCCAAAGTTATTCAAATCTCAATTTTGAATTTTTTGTCTCTTACGTAGATTTCTCTGTTGCACTGCAGTATAATGCAATCCATCTGAAGCAATGACCTTAAATGACCTTCTGTATATTTTGAGCAATTTTTTACTTTCATAATGCATCGAAAATTACATTTTTTTCAAACAAAAAGAACAATGACATTTACAATAATTTTTTCTTTTTTAATTTTTG